TTCATTCTCAATCTTTTACTCATTTTGAACCACACATTTTTCGATAAAATAATATTTTCCATCACATCAATAACTTTTCCTTCATTTTTAACCACACATTCTCCATCAATCTACTATTCAATAATACATTCTTTTAAAAGAATGTGTCCCAAACACACTCTTAATTAGATCTATTATAAGAATTTTATGTTAGTTGTATCGATGTCGACTTCCCTTTGTGCGGGGACCAAAGTTAGATGTTATACATTTGGGCTGACCGAAATAACCATAATATCATTTTCCACCGTCCAGTCTTCTCTTGTGTGTCCCCCTCTTACAATAATTCCGTCCATATACAATTACAGTAGAAAATCTAAGCCACTCAACCTAAGTCACCCATCAGGCAAAAATAGGATAAATTCATCAATGACCATCAAACTTTATACTTAGTGTCACCATGACCAACCAACTTGATTTTATTTCATCATGACCACCCAATTTCATATAACGTTTCACCATAACCACCCAATTTAATATAACATTTCACTGTGGTCAACCAATTTTTTTTTTATTTTTTTCAGTAATTTTAAAAGAGATAAAACAGTACCTTTGTATTATATATATAAATACATTTAAAAAAAGTTTTTTTGAAATTTTAAAAACTTTTATTTTAAAATAAGTTTTTATTTTATTTTAATTTTTATAATAAATTTTTATTTTATTTTATTATTATTTTTTTAAAGTGTCTTTTTCAAAATAAGTTTTTATTTTATTTTATTTTTCTAAGTAACATTTTTTAATAAATTTTTATTTTATTTTATAAGTAACGTTTTTTTAAAAATACGTTTTTATTTTATTTTTTAAGTAACCTTTTTTTAAATAAGTTTTTATTTTTTTTAAAATTTTATTTATATATATAATGTAAAGTTGTCGTTTTACCCCATTAAAAATTACTGAAAAAAATGGAAATAAATTGGGTGACCATGGTGAAATGTTACATTAAATTAGTCAGTCATTGTGAAATGTTATATGAAATTTGATAGTCATGATGAAATAAAATAAAATTG